CGGTATGCAGCTTCTACATGCTAGTTTTATTTCAGTAGTAGCCAATCTATCTCTTGCATTTTAAATTTCATGAATTACATATTTTACTGTTTTTGGGTGCTAAATTTCTTCTTCATAATAGATATTCTTAATTAGATTTCTGAGCATGTTATTTTAATATCTTGTTTTGACTGTTCTATTAACTCTGATTTATTGTGCATTTTGGTTCTTGTTCATCATATTGTCTTTCCTCAGATTCTAGATTGTACTGAGTTGACCTATTTTAGCATGGCATTAAAAAATCATTTGTACTGATTTGGTTCATGAGAGGAAGAATTTAACTTTAATCAGTCCTAAGGATATCGCTGAACTCAGGATTGCCCCTACCTTTTTATTTTAAAATTCTTTCTTAAAGGTATTTATGGCCAGTCAAATAGAAAAGCCCAGTAACTTGATCTGCCTTACAGAACGTGCTTTTCACATGGGATTACTTTGGCATTTTTAATGGGTTTTCTTATATTTAGCCATTAAATGCTGTCAGACAGAGAAGAGAAATATCATAGTGGCTGTATTATCTAGGTGTGTGTAAGTATTCTGTGATGTTCCCACAACGAGGAATTCACCTAATCACACACCTCTCAGAATGTATACCCCTTGGTAAGCGATCATGATTATGCCTAAGAGGAAGCACCTATAAAACAAGCTATCGAAGATGACTAGGAACAAAAATCAGTTAAATGCACAGACAGTTTTAAAGCTTTCTATGTATCTAACATTAAAATCAAAGAAGAAAGACTGAAAAAAATAAAGGCCACTCTCAGAAGTTTAGGAATTAAGTAGGATTAAAGGATGTTTGCTGAGTTTCAGGGGTTTGTTCTTAGAACTACGGAATTTGGAGCAAAAGTGATACCGGTAAGTTATAAGTTAGCTAAAACAAGAGTAGTACGTAAGTCCACAGGGTTTGGCCCTGTTAAAAAGTACTGGCTTAATGATGTTAAGAAAAAAGCCCACAATGCTTGATAAGAAGTGTACTCATTATCTTGCCCATGTAATTGTAACCCCTCTGTACAGTATTTTCACAATTAAAAAAAGAAAAAAAGAAAAAAGCCCAAAGTATTCCACCCCTCTCCCTCAGAGAAACTATAAGAGAAATTACTTAGAATTCCTCATATACAGTATTCCTTATATACTTATTTTTTAAAAGTACCAGCTATATTGATTTGAAAATACACTAAAGTTTTATGTCTAGTTTGCATCAGGTCTACGGCATTTAATCAAGTTCTACTATTTCATGTAATCAATTCCTAACAATTATTGCAGCTTTACTTTTGAGACTATTTCTAAAATTCATAACTCAGAAAGCAGTCCAGAGTCAGAACCCCATTCAGTATGATGAAAATGATGCTTCCTTCAGAAATCAGTAAAGCAGGAAGTGAAAGCATTCATGCTTGAATCTGTTTCATTCCTGGAGGAAAGTAGTGGCACAAAAGCCTTCCAGAGGACTTTAACAATTCGAACAGGTCTGGGAGACAAGTACAGAATGATGACTGCGAAAACCAGTGGGAGGCAGTGTTTAACAGTGGGATTAGCCAGATGTGCCTTTGGCTGTGAGCTTCTGGGCTTGCTCAGAAGGCTCCTCTGGATTCTTTAATGGCGTGTAGTTACCACCTGGAAATGTCCTAATTTTTTTAGCAAGGGACCCCTGTCTTTTCGCATCAGATACCATTAATTAACTGTAAGTCTACCTAGGTCCTAGGCAGGTTCCATCATTGTAGCTGTTTTCTCAAATGTGAAGTTCATCTTCCAAGTTAATCATAAGTGAATCTTCCATTCCGAATACCAAGGAAAAAACTGAATTAGCTGTATTTTACAGTCTACATATTTCTACTTTTTTCTGTCGGTCATGGGGCTTGAACTCTGGGTCTGGGCGCTTTCCCTGCGCTCGTTAGCTCAAGGCGAGCGCTCTACCACTTGAGCCACAGCACCACTTCCGGGTTTTTTTCTCTAGTGGTTTAGTGGAGTTAAGTCTCACAGAGTTTCCTGCCTGAGCTGGCTTTGAACCACGATCCTCAGATCTCAGCCTCCAGAGTAGCTAGGATTACAGGCGTGAGCCACCGGTGCCTGGTATTTCTATATTTCTTATAGAATATCTTAGTAGTCTCTATGCTCTTTTATCTCCAGACCAAACAATATAATTATTGACTTTTTCCTTTTGGGCTATGTAAATCAATACTCTATTAGAAATTAAAAATGAGATAGCATTACAAGAACACATAAGCAGCTGGGTGCCAGTGGCTCACAAAACAAAAGAACATGTACGCATACATTCTGCCGGTCCTGTGTATAATGATTTCATCACATGCCAAATAACTCTGGAAAACTCTACACTCCTGAGAGTAGACATCTTATTATGTAAACAGTCTGACTTTCTGGATCTCTGAAAAAGCTTGGGAGATGCTACCTTTTCCCTTTGGGGGCCTCAGATTGCACTTTGATTTTCACTGAAACTAGCCTAGTTAGACAGGAAACTTATTCATTCTTTGAGCAAAGGAGATGATTTGTATGAAAGTGCACTAGCCTTTAGCAAAACAAAAACAAAACAACAACAACAAAAAACCCTCAGGGACAGAGCATAGGCCCTGAGTTCAAGCCCCAGGATGGCAAACACAAAAGGTATTCTTGTTGGTTTTATGTTTATGCATCTCCACACTTGTTAAAGATGTATTCTAATCAGGTTCACCCTCTCTATCACATTGTCTGCACTCTTCTAAGAAATAGTGCCTCCAACAGGTTTCCCTGTTCCATCTTTATAGCTGCAAATAATCTAAATTATACAGGAAAAATAACTGACAGAAAGCCATGCTTTCTGGGAACAGTTCCTATAGGGTGTATATTCTAATGTGTAAAACATACTTTAAAGCATGCTATCCATTCACGCAAGCACGTATCCTGCATCCTCTCTGGCCTAGGTACTGGACCTTTACCCTATGGAGACTGAGAAGAATGTGACCTTTTCTAGCCTTCCCAGTGTGGGACAATGATAAGCAGGAAGGACATTCATCTGATGTGTCTGTTAATGTGCTGCTAAGGATGTATTTGCTAATGATTTTAATTAGCATATGTGGGAAGAGTCGCAAAAAGGTGATTTTTGCACTGTGGCAAATGAAAGGCTATTCAGAGGGAATAGAATTTTCCGGGCAAGATGGTCTGCAGGTAGTGTTTTAGTGGAGGATTGGGTTAGTAGCTGGAAAAAGAAAGCAGACTGTCAAAGATTTGGTAAAGAAAATTTAGAGAATGGATACTAGCCACAAGGTTTGATGGCCAGTCAGATGTGAAGGTAAGGGAAACTGGAAAAAGCTGCTGTGTTTCTGTTTGAGCTGCTAAGTGGATGGACTGACAGAGGAGATGAGGAGTGTGGTGGTAGGCGGTGGAATTGGAGACCTCTATAGACCCTAAGAAGGGATATGTAGTAGTACCAAAAACAGATCAAGCTGGAAAGGTAACTGGTCTGTTTTAACACATTTACATTTGCTCTTGAATAATGTAAATATGGAATCGATGTCTCCCCCACAGAAAAATAATTTCAATCATGGCTTTTATCAGCCCATTTATATGACATTAGCATACTGACAGGTTTAGCATTTATGTTTGATTAATCTTGTGAACCAAATAGTAACATCCATGTCTTAACTACGGTTAGTTCTCTCCATCTTTCACTAACAAAAACTTAAGATGAGGTACAAATTCTAATTTCAGGACAAAGTTCCATCTTAACAGAAACTAGTCAAAGATGAGACAGCAACACTAGAATGTATCTGAATTGGTAGGAACTAGTAAACCCTGGAGGAATTTGAAAGGCTAATCCAGATTAGCCAGGAATAACCAAGAAACATCCTGATACTTATGCCAATGTGCTAGAAAATTTCAGACTGATAGCAACTGCCTAATGTAAACATTGTTGTTACATTTCTAAGGATTGTTCTTAGTGTATTATCTAATCAAAGCTTCAACCACAATGCTTTCCTAATTATCCATTTTACTATTAGGCCAACATTTTGAAATATTTACTATTTCTTAGGATAGACCACAAAGTCTTTGGAAGCCGCCAGCAATATGGTTGAGTAAATGAAAATTCAAGCAGAAGGATACTATGCACTGAGATAAAGGTTCTGACCTAGGGCAAAGTCTTTCTGCACTTCATGATACAGCACTACCTCAAAGTCTTAAGCTTTCCTTTCTATTTTATCAGTATCTTATGCTAGTAAAAGAATTGGTAATTTGATTAACTATAAAGGAGTCACTGACCCAAGAGGCTACTTTAGACCAAAAACAGAAACGGTGATGGCTTGAGATCCAAGCCAACCTGGGCAGAAAAATTAATGAGGCTCCATCTTCAATTTACCAGCAAAATTAACTCAAATGTTAAAGTGAGTTGTGAGTGAAAAAGCTAAGCAAGAGTACGAGGCCTGGGTCTGGGAATGTGGCTTAGCAGTAGAGTGCTTGCCTAGCATGCATGAAGCCCTGGGTTCCATCCCTCAGCACCACATAAACAGAAAAGGCCAGAAGTGGTGCTGTGGCTCAAGTGGTAGAGTGCTAGCCTTGAGCAAAAGAAGTTCAGGGACAGTGCCTCAGGACGTGAGTGGGGGGTGGGAGGGAGGAAGAATGCGAGGCCCTCCCTAAGTGTTAACTGTTAGTACTAGCACAGAAGAACTCCACAGTACCTAATGTAAAGAGTTAACCAAATTATTACATTATAAGTTAAACACATGCATAGCTATTTTGTAAGCTAAGACATAGTTCGTTCTTTTTTTCCTAGAATACAAACTGTAGGAAAACCTGGAACTTTGGCATAGTTTGACCCTATTAAAATGTAAATGGAAGCACAAAACTTGGCATATGTACACATTAGAAATAACATGGAGTTGTCATAAGCTGAAAGAGAGGACGTTTTCCATTTTGTCTTCCATAGCTATTCAGTAAGAACAGTGTTTAAATTTTATAATGAAGAAGTAAATACATACTCATCATGAACAATAGTGGGGCCATCCCGTGTTAAGGCCTCTTCCTTGATGACATTGATCAGTTCAAAGGTACTGCTTATGGGAGCATCTGGGTTAGGCCATTTGGGGCACTGAAAGTGTCGAACTTCTAGGACATAGTCATCCTGTAAGTAACATAACAGGAGTCACATTGATTATCTGTCCTCTATTTCATAGGTCTAATCAAAGGACTACAAAGTGTTCCTCAGATAGCATATATTGCAGAATTCTGAATAACGTCAGGTTAACACAAGTGCAGGTGTTGACAAGAAAAATACAAAGATCTGCCTGACATAGAATATGAGCAGGCTGTGTGAGTTAAACAGTAGAAGCTCATGTTGTTCAGCCCCCAAATTCAACTGTAAAACAGTTGGGTATTGGTGGCTCATGTGTATAATCTCGCTATTTAGGAGGCTGACATCTGGAGCATTGAGGTTCAAGGCCAGTTCAGGAAGAAATGTTCACTAGTCTCCATCTCCAGCAACAAAGCCAGTCTGGGAGCATGGCTCCAGTGGTAAAGGCAGCCTAGCAAGCTAAGGAAGAGGGTACTAGGCTATTATCACTTAAACCACTTAGATAAGAAGGCCTCTCTCACACTTCAGAAAAGAAGGTAGTCTACTCCCATTTCCTTCAAGGAGAGCAAGAAATATTTTTCCCTCTTTTTTTCTTTTTCCCTCCATCCTGTTATACTAGAAGCAAGCGATAATATACTAAATATTGGTTAGTTAAAAAAAAAAACCCAACTTACTATTATCTCTGCAACACATTTTGCAAGACTCACATTTCTGATGGCAAAACCCCCCCAAAAACTGAGCTTTATTATATTGTTTTTAAAATTAGGTCAACAGACCTATTTGTATGCATGTCCAATCAGAGGAACTGTTACATTTCATTTAGCCAGCTGGAAAGGGCAAATATTTGAAGGAAGAAAAAAGGGAAAGGTACATATTTTAAATTAGGTCTTACGCAAACACCTGGGCCTGTCTTGAGGGTGGCAAATTACTTCATTATTACTTAAAAGGATCATCCAGGGCCTACATCTGGCTATTACAGGGGACCTGGGGTTTAGGTTACCTGTGTAGCTTCAAGGATAAAGTCATGGATGATAATTTGTTCTTCATTAGAGAGGCACAGTCTGTCTTTGCTGATAAGAGTGACAGTAAAGGCCTCACAGTTCATGGATTCTTCTCGGCTTGGCCAGTACACAAACTCATCTTCTGCCTTTGGGAATCAATGAGGAAAAAAAAATATTTTGCTGTACTACTCAACATTTATTTTTGAATTTTCTTGCAGAGTAAATCCTTGCCCTTTCCCACACCTCTCAAATCATCTTATAAGCTGAATTCACAGTACTGTATTTTCATCTAGTCTTGATGGTTATTGTACTTTTATCTCAAAATGCATCCTGATAATAACCATTTCCTAGCACCTCTCACCTATTACTGTAACAATTCAAAACACCCCCTCCATAGGGGATGTATTTTTCCCAGATGACAAGTGTTCTGAATCATAATTGGCACAGCAAGAACAGAGATTGGATCTAGGTCAATTAATTTTATTATTTCACAGTTGCTTAAGCAACTAAAACATGCTAATTGTTATTTCCTATGGGTAATATCAGTAACAAATACACACGTGAATAGCTTTTTAAACAGCTTCATAAACATTATCTGTTAATTTTTACATTATTAAGATAAAGGGCATTTTACAGAAAAATTTTATGTATAAAGTACAAAGCACAATGTTACATAATGCAGAGATAATAAGGTTATTTTAGCCAAGCAAATGAACATATGCATCATTTTAAACTTTTTTTGTGGCAAGAGAAATTAAAACAGCATAAATCCCAAGTGTGGTACAGTTTTATCACCTAGATTCCTTGTGTTGGGTATGAGCTCTCTAGACTGGTCATTTGTCATACCTGCTGCTTCATATCCTCTGATCTGTAACTCCCCATTTCTGCCCCAACCCTAAACTACTGTTTTGTTCTCTGTATATTAGAATTTTTTTGGGGGGGGGTCCGGTTGTGGGGTCTGAACTCTGGGCCTGGGCGCTGTCCCTCAGCTCTTCAGCTCAAGGCTAGCGCTACCACAGCACCACTTCCGGCTTTTTTCTTTTTGCTTATGTGGTGCTGAGGAATCGAACCCAGGGCCTCATGCATGCAAGGCAAGCTCTCTACCACTGAGCCACCTTCCCAGCCCCTAGAATTTTTTTTAATGGGTAAGATCATGCAATATTTTCTTTTAGGTCAGACTTGTAAAGTCACATGGTATAAAGAAAGTATACCAATGTGCATATTCATCATGGTTTCTTTATCTGGTTGTTGACTGACAGTTGTTTCCAGGTTCTACTGTGCAGAATTCATAGGAATGAAGATTATCTTTATAAGGTAGCAATTTCCTTTTCTTTGGTTATATGCTCAGAAGAGATTGCTGAATTTATATGGTGGCTCTATTTTTCATTTCTTTAAAGACTTCCATACCGGTTTTTGATAACGTGCCATTCCACATGCTCATCAACAGTATGAAAGCATTCAGTTGCTTCTGACTTGCCTTTCCTTGATGATGGAAAACACTGAGGACTACTCTATGACTTGCTGGTGGGTCTTTGAACTGGGATTACTCATTTTTCTACTGTCAACTTGTACAAGCTCTTTATAAATTTTGAGTGTTAGGACAAAGGATAAAACCCCTTGTTTAGAGACTAACATATATACTCAGAGACCTTCATAAATTCACTAAAATCACACTGAGAATAATAGTAAGGACAGAACACCTTGGAAAGAAGTTGTGCATATAAATAAGCACGTTGGCTTTATGTACAAGGCATTCTTTAAAACTGTCAGTGATAGATTTCAAAAGGGGAGAACATAGTCTTTCAGCTCTAATATTCAGGCTTGGTACTTCTCGAGAACTGTTTCACAGGTTAGAGTTTGTGTAAAATGTGATTGATAGTACGCCCCTCCCCACCTTTCTAATTAGCTCAAATGACAAGCTAGTTTGCACATATTATGAGGATTTCTATGGACATTTTCAGGAAAATCCTAGATACTATCATTGACTTTAGAAATAATTCTGAGTAATGTTCAAAACAAAGAAGGCTTTGTTTAATCTTACATTGTTGAATTAGAAATGAGCCAACAAGTCCAATAAGACTTATCACCCTTTCAAGTTTCAATAGTTTATTGCCAAGTACATTTTTATTTTTAAAGCTCAGCATAAGGGGAAACAGATTAGCAATTGGGTTTAGTCTATACAGAAGTCTGTAACTGTTTTAACAGGGCATCAAAACTATGCCCAGGTTAGCATAGGATTAGGATCACATGTGATCCTAGATAAATTAGTATTTTTGTGGCTTAAATTTCGATGTTTGAAAGTGGGAATTAAACTATGTACCTCAGAAAATATATGGATAGTAAATTAAATACTAAAGAGATTTTAATTACAGTAGAAAAAACACAGAAAAAAGTTTAAATACAGAAACTGTGATCAGGAATCATTCATTGTGGAAGAAAATGAAATACTGCTTTTTAATTCAGAAGGCATTCTGTGGTTGTTTGCTGATACATATACTTCCAGATGAAAGGTTATCTAGACTGTGATGAGAATGTTTCCTGAGTTAGGACCATGCTTTTAGGCTACTTAGAAAATTATATATAGTAGTAAAAGACTAGAGCAAATCTAGGTATTACCCATTTTAGGAAAAAAACTGCAAGGATTCAAAGGGTGAGTACTGCAGCTAAGAGAGCAGACACACACGAGTATAGACTATTACCAACAGAAACCTCAGAGACTCTTCTACGGTTATTCCTGTTCTATCCTGTATCTGTAGAATGTGTATCCCATTACTGGGTCCAGGCACCCTGTAACCTGTCTTACAAATGAGTCTAGGCAGATGCTTTACCATGATTGTCCTTGGTGGATTGACAATACCAAATACTGACTCAATACTCCCAACAAATGAATGTTTGAAAAACCTGAAATGCCTCCCATTTCCACATGCCAAGCAGAACGGACCCCTGTTGCCAGCTAATTTGAAAATTTACACTCCAGCTTTGAGCTTAAGATTCTCAAATTTGTTGCCATTCCATCATACAGAAGCAGCCTTGGTATTCTGAAGCTGGAGCAAAAATGAGACAAAGTGAAGAAGTTCCTACTGACTGGGCACACAGTCAAAGGCATGTCATCCAGACTATGGGTTCAATCACATGCTGTTCCTTCTTGATTAAAAAACTCATTAATCTGACACTCAAGGAGCCAGATCCTCATTGTTTTTGTTTTTATCTTGTGGGCTCACATGTCCACATATTAACGTTTCAAAACTGAGCGAATTCAGAATTTATTTATTCATGAAGTCTAAATTTGCTCACTGGTCTTCTAAATACTTTTGAGACTTTAATAGAATAAAAAAGGAGGGGAAGAGAAATATCTATTAAAGCAAGGAAAGGGCAAAGATATAATGGCTTGGTCAAAGCCTTAAGAGTGACCTACAGGTTGGGCCCCAAATTGCCCCTCCTAATTACTCCCCTGCAATGGCTCTTACTATAGAATGTGATAAAATAACAACACACTTTTAGTACAAGAGATGACAAGCATGGAATTTGGAGACTGATAACTCAGGTTTAAGTCCTGGCTCCAATTATTGGTCTATGCTCCTGGACATAAGTTAGTCGGCTCAGTTTTCTCATCTATTACATGAAATTCTAACCACCTCTTGGCCACAAACTGTTCTGAGAATATGTAGAGAGGAAGAACACTGACATATTTTGTAGATGTTGTAAGTCTATCACAAAAAAGGGGGGAGGGGCACACCGGTGGCTTACGCCTGTAATCTTAGCTACTCAGGAGGCTGAGATCTGAGGATCACGGTTCCAAGCCAGCTTGAGCAAGAAACTCCGTGAGACTCTTATCTCCAAGAGACCACTGGAAAACTGAAAGTGGCTCTGTGGCTCAAGCAGTAGAAAGCTAGCCTTGAGCTGGAGAGCGCAGGAACAGCGCCCAAGCCCAGAGTTTTAAGTCCCATGACTGACCAAAACAAACAAAACTATCACAAGTGACCTACAGCAGGCAAGAAGTCAGTCTACAAATTAGTTTTTTTTTGTTATTGAGGTTATTTAAGGGATCGTTCTTGAAGCATTCTAGCACCTAGCCACACAGGGTAATATCAGAGAATTAAGGATAATAGTATGATTCTATGAAGTGACTGAAGTTCTGAGTACCCTCCCTAGCACAGACACAATAGTATTACTGTCCTGTATATCTGGAGCCTCATGGGCTTGTCACTATCTAGCAGATGTGCTTTACTTACCAAGCTCTGGTTGTCTGGCAGCATGACGATGATCTGTGCATTATGATCCCAAATCATTCGCCAGAAATCTTTTGTAGTATGTGGCAGAGGATGCTGGGTTATAATAAATTCATTGCTTCTGTAATAGCCCTTCAGTTAGAAAGAGAGAAACATTAGTGATTATAAGCTTTTTGTTCTAACTTGGTGGTAGCAGAATAGATTCATGAAACCAGACAAGCATTGCTTTGGTGACTTAAAATATTCGAGAAAGGCATTTAGTACATTTGGCTAATTTTTAGAGGTATTTCTTAACATTATGCAAACAATTTTCTCTCCACATGCAATTCACTTCCAGTTACCCCTGCTGTTTTTACTTAGTAATTTCAACATTTATTCAAATGCTAGATGGGTAAAAGTAACAAAAAAATAATTCCTTAAGAAGCATTTTGCTTTATGTAGGCATTTTTGTACTCCTACTGTTCGGGTATCTTTTGTTACAAATTCTAAGATATAGAAATCTCTAATTTTTTTGGTATTTTACACATTGAGAAATTATAAAAAAAAAGAGAGAGAGAGAAATATCCACAGAGGTGGTATCTGTGCTTTAACACCCTTCAGTTTAATTGACTTAATTTATGATTAATTGTTGACTCTCACCATGATATAAGAAGCATTAATGTAATCTGTTCCTTTCATTCCAGGCAATGGGGCAAGACCCACTCGAGCACGCTCAGCTATCACATGGAAAAATCAGTAACACAGCATTAGTCTTATGATACAGTAAACAACAGCTCCGCCTGAGAATAACACATTCTTCTTCGTGGGAGTACCATATTTCTCTATCTCCTCTGAAATTTACTTACATGGCTCAGCAAAGGGAGAGGAAGAATTTAAACACAATTTTGGTGTACAGACCCAGTAGACCTCTAAGGTATATCTTATATAAACATGTCAGATGGTATGTGATAACTTTTTACTTTAGTTTATAGTCCTAGAGTTCCTTAGCTTTTGTCCCTGCAAACTTATAAATGTCTTTGCCCCATGAAGGGCCGTTCTCAGAGAAAAATCTCTCTGATGATTACTCATATATGTATCTACAGTATACATACAAAGCGTCCTGATTTAATGCAAGCGTAAGTCCCAATCAATTTTGTCTGGATCTCAATATCCAGGATAATTGAATGCTGCAACTCTAGTTGTACAGATTAATCTAGGATTTGATAAGTGGTAAGAGCTTTATTACTATCATCATAAAATGAAAGATGGCAGAAGTAATCAAATTCTATATATATTTTTCTGATCCTGGGGTTTGAACTCAAGGCTTGGGCACTGTCCCGGAACTTCTTTGTGTTCAAGGCAAGCCCTCTACCATGTGAGCCACAGTGCCACTTCTGACTTTTTCTGAGTAGTTTACTGGAGATAAGTCTCATGGACTTTAGTGCCTGGGCTGGCTTCAAATCGTGATCCTTATATCTCAGCCTTCTGAGTACAGGATTACAGGGGTGAGCCACTGGTGCCCAGCTTGAATTCTTATATTTCAAGGGGAACCTAAACTAGATTTCTTGTCAGATATATGGACTAACTCCAAAAGTCCACCTATCATTCACCTACCCAAGAGAAATAATTGACAGGAGGGTTTGGGATGGGGGGAGAATGATGAAAGAGGTAATAGCCATCAAGATGCACTGTACTTATAAACTGGTATGTTGTATGGTAACCCCTTGAAATAACTACTTAAAGATAATTTTTTTTAAACCCTCTAACCCAAGTCAAACTGATTTTAAGGTCTTACATGGCACAACTGAAGAGTTTCTGTTCTTTTCTTTGTTGCACTCTTTCTGAGCACTGAAGCACTCCACATATTTTGCATTACATTGAGTGACCAGCTAAAAGAAAAGTAATATTTTAGTCTTCATTCAAGGGTATAATTCATATACCTGCTTGATTATTTAGAAAAATACCAATAATCAGATTACTAAGAAGGACATTTTTTTTTTGTGCCTCAGAATACTCTCAATGCTTCAGTATAGTGGAACCTTGTCTCATTTCTGGAACCTGGGTACTGTGTGGACTTCTGTGAACATGATATCACTACTGTTTTGATTTTTGTCCTTAGTGGCACACAAAACTTAAGTAACTCATCAAGAGCTAATTACATTGCTTATAGATGAAGAATTTAGTAGGTTCTTAGTACACTTCTGTTGAAATAAGAATTTTTAAAGGTCATTATAAATAGTCCAGTAGGGTGGTCTTATTTTGTTCCTTGGCAATCATTGGTCCATCTGCTTTCCTAAGTGTACATGGGGAAGAAGGGGTATCTATTTACAAGCAACATATGGGAAGTTTGCTTTTCCCAGTGTGTGAACTCCTGCCATTGGGTGCTAGAGGCAAGTATCATCTCCAAGTGTCTGACTTTTCCCCTTTCTTCTATTTGAGTTCTAAAATGAATAATGACTGTAAAAAAGCCAGATACCTGGTTTCCAGCTGAATATACACTGGATTGTTTGATGAATTAAGAAAATACGTTTAGAACCAGAAGAGTTTCAGATTCTTTGGGATTTTGAAATATTTGCATACATATGAGGTGTCTTGGGATGGGAATCAAGTCTCAACATCATATTCACATAGCCTGAAAGTAGTAATTCTAGTGTCTGAAGCAGTGTGGAGCTTTGTGGCATCAAACTGCCACTCAACAAAATTTGGACTGAGGAATGTTTTAGATTTTTAAGTTAAGGAAGCTCTCATTAGTCATGCTCAGTTTTTTTGCTTTGCACAGTTGTTCGATAGGTAAACAATTGCTCATTTTGTGTTCAAATGGAAAAGAATGAGATGAGCCTGTGCTCATTTCTTATAATAGAGCTTTCCAGAATCTTTAACTACAGAAAGGTAAAAGAAAGTAAAAAAAAAAAAATTCTCATTTAAAAAATTTAAAGTGACGTACTGTGTCCTTACTATTAATCCCTAGAAGTGATTTTTATAGCATTAAGGATGTTAACAGGAACTAGAAATTTAAAATTACTCTTATGACCAAACTCAATGGAGTCTATTTTTTAGTTCTTATCATAGGATCCAATTTGCCTGGCAACGATCCAGATGAAGGTTTCAGAGGCTACTGAAAGATTTATCAGGAGAAATGAAGCTATAGAGATTCATCCCAGCCTTCCCATCTTAACACGAAGATAAAGAATTAACTTTACATAAGGAACAAAATGCAGGAAAATAAGAATTGAAAAGATAATTCAAGACTAACAAATAACAAACCATTAAATGATTGGGAAAGATAGGCAGCATATCAAAGTTACAATTAATTCCTTGAGCTTTTCTCATCTTAATTAAAGTCTTAACATCTAACTGTGTTTAAATGTTACACTCCCATTGAAGAAAAAGAACAATTATTGTAGAAACACAACTTTTCTGTTATTATTTAGTAACTCATTTTTAAAACTTGTCTCCTGGAATAGATTTTCAACAGGCATATTTTAAGGACAATATGTTAAATAACTTTTTTTTTTTTTTGCTAGCACTGGAGTTTGAACTCAAGGCCTTACACTCAGCTTGTTTGCTTGGATGACCCTCTACCACTTGAGCCATCAAGTTCAAGTAACAATCTTTTCTTTCTGACTAGAATATAAACATAGTTTCATGTTATTGTGACCAGAGGATGATGCTTATGGTCAGATAAAGTCATAAACTGCTCACAAGAAAATATGGAACAGGACTACATTTACTTGAATACAAATGATACTTACATGGATCAGAACTTGACTTCACATTACAGTTAAAGAGTACAAAGAGGACCTGACCTTCAATTCTTTTCTACTTCCCTGCTTTAAAGATATTATTATGCAAAGCTCTACCTTAAATTGTTTTTCCAGCCGAGTCTTTCCTCCCACTCCTGGTATGAGGATACTGTTAACATAGCTATGTAGCTGATTTGAAGATACTTCAGTCTCCTTTCCAAGAATGGCTTCCAACAAGGCATCGTGGATGAAAATGTACTGCTCCTACAATGTGCAATATATGATGATCACCAAGGAAACCTGTTAATTCTGCCTCAAATAGGGACCTGTCAGTGAGTTCCTGCAAGCATTTGGAGCTAGATGGTCTGTTTCAATACTCACTCATCATAATTTATTTTAGGGCAGATATTGTTAACAGCTCTTTGCTCTACACTGTGCCTGGAGGGTCTATACGGCCAGCAGTCCACAAATGTGTCTTCAATGAAGGCCTTAGGAACCATCTTGTCCTAGATGTTGTATCAGACCCAACAATGTATTTAACTCCCAATAGTTTGTGACACAGTTCTCAGTACAATACAGCTGTAACTCAATCTTAAGTGCTTTTATAGTGATTTACAATTCTGAATGTTCAGATCCACCCAGAAATAGAAAACAGATCCAAATAGTAGGATATCTTCTACAACCCTCTACATTCCTTCATGTCCCAACAGAATGAATCTGTGTTTTCAGTGTCATTCAACTTTCAGTTGAAAGGGTGCTGGCAGCCCCTCCTTACCTCAGTCTGGACGAGGTAGTTACGCTGAGTCCTGATATGCTTCAGGAATCCCAGGACATTAACTGTGCTTTTGTCTTTTATCTGTTGCAGCATGCTGTCTATCACAATATAGGTGCCTGTCCTGCCCACACCAGCGCTGTTAAGAAAGGAAGGCAACTCAGTACGTTAAGTATCCAGTGAACTTGCAAATAACCTTGTCTAACCTAGTATAAATGACATAGGACATTCATGTAGACAGTGGCTACAAACTGCATTGAGAGCACTTGCCACCTTGCAAGTCATGATAAGGAGCACGTTATACTGTAGGAATTGCAAGACAAACAATGTATATTACTTTCTTGGCCTACCCTGCAAAGAGGTGTGAAGCTTGGGGATGCACAGCTGCAGTCACTGCCATAGCAGAAGCCAGCTGCTGAGGCACCGGCAGGCAGCTTCTCCTGCTGTGTGCGCTCACAGTGACTCTGTGAGCACTCATCCTGTGAATGAGCCCCTTTCCTGTACAACTGCCTCAGTTGGCTTTGGTTGCCTGCATTGACGAAGCTGACCAGTGAGCAGTATTAGCAGGTTCCTACTTAAAAAGGGATATTTGCCTTTAGTAATATCAAGGAAAAATAGCCTGAGACTGTGACCTGTAGAAAATTTGGCTTAATCATATTTCTTGTTATTTTGGAAAATACTCAGCAAGATTTGGATTCTTTAGTACTCAGTCACAATCTTCTTTTGGTCAAATGCCCCAGAAACTTTCCTGTCTGGCACAATACCTAGGCTGTTTGATAGACTTCTCTCCACTTTACTGATTCCTAAATGGATTAGCATAAAAGCAGAGTTTTCCTCGGAATATGGATGTGTTCCAGCTTCTAAAAGGGACTTTTTTGGGGGGTAAGAGCATATTGTAAGAATAGCCCAAAGAAATGCTTAGAAAATACCATGTAGATGGGCGCCAGGGGCTCATGTCTAATAATCCTAGCTGCTCAGGTGGGTGAGAGATCTGAGAACCATGGTACCAAGTTAGCCTGAGGAGACAAACCATGAAACTCCTATCTTCAAACAGCAAAAAACTGGAAATAGTGGTTTGTGGCTTAAGTGGTAGAGTAGCACCAGTCATGAGTGAAAAACCCTAGCAAGCATGCTGGTACAGAAACAGCAACAAAAACTCAGCAGGAAAGATGCCGTGCAGGTGTGTAACATCCATCACAGAATTAAGTAATATCCATTTGAGTACTAAATCAGGAAAAAAGCCACAAATGCTAGTAAAGAAATATATGAAAAGTTTTAGATACTTAAAAATGCCGCTACTACGCTTTGGGAAGTATAGATTTTTACTTAGCCTGCTACTTTCCCTATCAACATTGGTCTTATATGAGAAAATGACTTTATGAAAACTAGAGGTTTAAATTCAATAGAAAAAACAAACAGTAGAGGTTTGTCTACTTGAGCAGATATTTAGGTTTGTGCTGATTTAGTCATCTTCACTTTCAGATAAGGACTTGGGCTCTAAGTCAAAGGAAACAGAATAGCTATGGTTCCAAGTTCACAAGGCACAAGTACCCTGCTCAGCCAACTTCAGGAGTCAAATAGGAGGCTGAAGAAAGAGATGCCAACATACCTGCAGTGCACCAGCACGGGGCCCATGTCTGGTGTGCGGGCTGCCGAAGATCTCCTCACGAAGGTCAGGACCGGGAGGGCATACTCAGGAACCCCCATGTCAGGCCACTGTGTGTAGTGATACTGGATCACTATCCTTTCATTCTGACGGCCCTTGGGGTTTCCCTTCTGACCCTAGAAGAGAGGTGTAAAAAGATGCCACGAATCTGAGAGTGAATATTCTGGACAAAAGGACTTCAAGTGTGCCTGGAAATGAGGCTTCTGATTTCATTTTCCCAATTATTTCTGAGCTACGTCACTTACTCAATTTGGTCTAACTTCCTTGTTACTAAACAGAGATATCTAGCTAGATGTGGACCACCCATCTCTTAGAGAAGATGGTCATACCAGGAGTGAACATTTAACAGCAGGCATTTGGACTCAGAATATCTTACCTACAAGGCTCTGTGTCCTGACTTGTTGCCCCTTTCTGTGCTTTGCATTCATTTCCCCGTGGACCATCATTCCTGGCCCTTCTCTACCGTCTGGAAGCAGAGATACGGGCTAGGTACTGCTGTGTATTCTTTTCCAGGAGGTTAGGAGAGGGCTCTAAATGTGAAACAAGTCACCAGCCTCTGGACTTTTTCAAAGAAGTTTTCCTCTAACGGACTGAACTTTGACATGTTAATTCAGGGCCAATAATGATAATGGGGCTTACAGGACACCTGGCACTGTGCTACCAAGGCCCAAGGCTATTTTCTTGCTATCGTATCCAGAACCCCTTAAGATCCTACTTATATCTTTCGCTGACAAGTTGTTTCTACAAGAAGTGTGAGTTAAATTCCTGAAGAATTCCGATGAGTCATAATAGCTTTATACTAACTCTTGATTTGCTCTATGATATAAACACAGGGATGGTGCTACTGATTTTCTTCAGCTATTTGTAGAATTCTATATGATTTGTGATTTATGGGTCAAGGGGACTACTGTTTTAACACATTTCCAAAGATCTCTAAGATGGCCAAAAAAAGTCTTTATTTTCTGCAAACAATTGTCCTATATATGAGAATATAGCTCCGTATTTTCTTTCTGAGCATTTATATCTATAGTTGATGATCTATGAATCTGGTCATCACAGTAGATTTTGAAAAATAAAAACACTGAGATAACTTGAAAACAGCATGTGTGATTCTCTGAATATTAATAGTTCCACAGGGGGGAAAAACATTTTTATAGTTGACATTAGAAAACACTAATCAGAAAAATCTTAACTCCAATATTGTGTTCATTGCTCATTTCTAAAAGAGGATACATATTCTGTAGCATCCATTTTTTATTCTTATCAACAGCATAACCTGGTTTTCTTTGTGTATGTATCCAGTATCAGGCTTTGTACTCACACACTTGCTCAGCTTTTATGCTCAAGGCTTGCATTCTACTGCTTGATCCATGCCTTCATCAGACATTTTTCTGGTTAGTCTCCTGAACTTGTTTGCCTGGGTTCGTTTCAAACCACAATTCTTAGGAGTCAACCTTCCAAGTAGCTAGAATTTTTTAAAAATGGTTTTAAGTGTGAACCAACTAAGTTAGTGCCTGGCAAAAACTTGGATTTGTATATAAGTATAGTTCAGGACTAGTATTTCTTGGGAAACCAACAAATACATGACATTTTTGCCAAAAGAGGATGCGTTTTTATCAAAACAACTTATTGGCCTATATTGTACACTGATTTTTCACACAGGTACACAGATGCTTTGATGGCCTGCCCAGTCCCTGATACCTTTTTCACTTTCGTGTTTCTGACTGAAAAACGACGAACAGTGTAGCAGGCATGTACTTTTGTGCTCTTCAGTGTGACAATAATGTTTCCATACTCTTCGCTGTTCTCTGTTGGCCAATACTGATCACATTTCCGCTGAAAAAAGACAAAAGTTACAAATGACAATGCCAGACACAGGTAAGTCTGCATAGGCTGAACTACTTAAAGGCAGAAGTAACCTCTGAAGAATTGATGCACTGGGATAACTTGGGGCAAGAGAAAGTGTATGTATCACGTGGAACACAGGCCTGGATTTATGGAAGAGACCAGAGAATGTGTTACAGTTTGGGTCATCACAGAAAGAGAGTCAGAATGAAGCAGTAGTTATTTTTGAGTAATGAACTTGAAACATTAGCCTTCACTCCAGCCTAAATTAGCACCACAGACTCATTATCCAGTATCTTCTACAACACTTACGGTGTTTCTCAAATGTGGTCTGAAAGTCAGGGTGTCTAAGCAGTCTTTCCTGTAGTGTCCTCACTCCCTCCTAAAATCTTCCAACTTCCTTGTTTTTTGGCTCTTGCTGTCCCCTGTTCAAGTCTCTCCTTAGATATTAGCTATTGTAATACCCTCTGGACTAGAGCATGCTGTTCATGGAGTTCACATTTGTAATGCCTTAGTTCTTTTTCCACCAGTCCACTCTCAGAACTACAGTGGTGAGAACACGTTTTCACTTCTCTAAATTCCTGTTCTACTATAGGCATTCTACAAATACTTTGTTAATTAAGATAATAAAGCAAGGTACTCTTACTCTTCCTTTCTCCACAAGATTTGTAATCATGACAATGATTCCGGTATTTTGCTCCCAAATCATCCTCCAGAAGTCTTCAAATGTCGACTTTAAAGGTCCCTGCGTGGCAATGTAGGATTTCGCTTTGTTGTAACCCTTCAAAGGTGACAGAGTACAAAGTGAAATGAAAGCAGTATCACACAAGACCAGTTAATAATTCAAGCACCTTCCACAGTGAATAGGCTGAGCTTTCCATGAGACCTCAGCACAGTTTTAAAATACATGCAGCAATCTCTGCTGTATTCTTCAGTTTCAGAAATGGGTTAGGGTTATAAAAACATGTCTGACTTACATCGACATAGTTTGCATTAATGTAGTCGCTGTGCTTAGAGTCTTTTCCTGGTAAAGGTCTTAACTTCACCCTACTGTGATCATCTATAAAAGATAAAAAGGCAAAACAAAATGCAGAATTTTTTAAAAAGCAGCATTTTAAACATTAACCCCATGTAATCTCCCAGAATGAATACACTGAGAAGCCTCTGAGCAACTGCTAAATACATAGAGCATTCGAAACCATAGAGAAAGCACAGGGCCATTTATAGCCACTCCAGAGTGCCTAAGAAATGCAGTTTTTTATGCTGAAAGCAAGTTCAAAGGCTTTTGATTACCCATGTCCCATCCCCCATTAATAGGTCTAAAAATGCGATTGTGCAGAACATCTATTTTCAGAAGATTCCAACACTAAATTCAGATGAATTCCCTGTTATTGTCACAGAACCCAAGGACTTAAACCTGGGATCCTTCAAGAGGAATCTCATTGTGCATCAGCTACAGTCAGATTTGAAGATGGTTTCTTACCATAGCAAAAGAAATAAAAGGAAGCTGAGAACTTTTTCCTAGCTAGGATGGATAGAAGATTAAAAAATCACAGACAGGGCTGGGAAGGTGGCTCAGTGGTAGAGCGCTTGCCTTGCATACATGAGGCCCTGGGTTTGATTCCTCAGCACCACATAAGCAAAAAGAAAAAAGCCAGAAGTGGCGCTGTGGCTCAAGTGGTAGAGCGCCCAGGCCCAGAGTTCAGGCCCCATGACTAGACCTCTCCCCAAAAATCACAGACAAATGATCAATAAACACTAATCATAACAGAACTGCACATTTAAAGTAATAGGATAGCACTTTACACTATGAGGGCTATTATGACCCCCCCCACCACACCCCACACCCCAACCTTTCCCAAATTAGCTGGTGCTGGTGGGAATGTGAAGATACTGGACCTCTCATATACTGCTGGTGGGAATCTCAAGTGGAACAGGCACTTCGGTAATTCCTCAGATGTTAGACTTACCATACAACTTAGCAATTCTATTCACATACATATCCAAGGAAGCTAAAATATGCGCTTGAATAAAGCCTTATATATGGAATTAATAAAATGTGCCATAGCCAAACAATGGAGTACTATTCAACTATAAAAAGGAATGGAATACTGATACGAACTTGGGAAACATTATGTTAAGTTAAAGAAGCCAGGCACAAAAAGTTACATGAGATACTATTTACATGACAGGGATAGGATATGCAAATCTCCAGAGATAAGAAGGAGGTATGAGTGCCAGCTAACACCTAAGGGGTTTATTGAGATGTTAAAAATGTTTGAGTGTGGTTATGACTCTGCACTCTGAACACACTAAAACCCACTGAATCGTGTGTTGACTTTAAATGGGTACTTTACATGTGGTGTGAATTACATTTCACTGTGAATTACATTTCACTAAGGCTTTCTTAAAATTTTTCCATACTGTTCAGATTTTAAGTGGTCCAATTTAAACCCACTCTATATAATGTGGTCTTAACCAAAGTATGTGTTCACCATAAAATCGCTATGTCTGCCTTTCATCCAAGAGCATACACCTTGTGATGGTGAATTGGTGAGGGTCAACTGGAGTTGCTTACAAAATGTTTAGGCTCACGGTAATAGTAAAACACATCTCTGGGTATGTGGTTGATAACTTTTCTGACATTAATTAGATGGCTTTCTGTGATCAAATTAAGAAGAGGATGAGAAAAGACATTGCTCTGCTTCCGCGGAATGAATGGGTTAATTCGTGATATGATGTCATTACTGAGAGATGGTGAAAAGTAGGAGGTGGGCCTAGTTCTAGGGGACACAGTAGGTCTGATGGAGGCAAGTGCCCTTGAGATACAGATTTATCTTGCCCTGGCTCTTCCTGAATTCCCATCTGCCTTGTAAAGGAGCTCCCTACGTATGGCATACTTTTGCCACTATGATTGGTTTCCCACTGACATGGTACCAAGTAACCAAGTAACCCTCCCAAACAGCTCCTTTCTTTAGGTTGTTTAACCAGGTACTGTGGTCACAGCTATGGAAAAGTAACACCTGCCTGCTAAGCATCCCGATCCATATTGACATATTTCCATATCTGAAACTTTTCAACATCATGTCATGTTCAATAATTTTGTACTTTGATATTTCAGGTTAAGAATGCCCAACCTACATTATTAGCCACTCACCTAAGTTCTCCGTGTCTACGGACCTGACCTGCCAGTCACAAATGTAGTCTGTACGAGGATATTTCTTCAGGCCCCATGTGTAGCATACCTCACTGCCTGATGTGCTCTAACCTCTAGGATGCTCCTGAGCCTGAAAATACACTGGGTAAAGCTAAATGTATGGACCAAAAGGACAGGAGGTTCATCCCTTAAGGAAAGCCTAATTAGGCAGCCTTAGAAATTCAGCTTACTGAACTTACTTCCCTGCGCTTGTTATTAGAACCCTCTATCCTCATTGGTTACAATGCCAGTGATACTTATATTCTGGCTCCCTACATCTGACAGGACATCCCTTCATGTGAAAACAGTGAAGCTCAGAACATTTTTTTCTTTTTGAGTCATCTTATTAAACTCTCTGACACCTGACAGCCAAATAAAAGACTGAGCGGGTAGAGAATGTCCCCACTTCCTTAGACTTTGGAAGACAGGCTAATGAGAGGTTAGCTTGCAAGCATGATTCTTTCTTGGCATTCTGGCTCTATTTGGCTTTTAGCTTCTACTCAGCATGAAAATTCAATTTCCTCACAGTTGAAGATAGTTTAAAGTTTATTACTCACATGCTAAAATGTTGATGTATCTGTTTTTGTGCTTGTTATCTAGATGATTGGAATGTTCTGCAGTGATGTTCATATCTGCTGTACAGCGTTGGACCTCCTAGTGAAGAAAGCAAACGGTGACATTTTAAACACACTTTAGAAAACAAGCAACCATCGTCACACATAAATGTTTCTATCCCCATGGACTGAATACATAACAGGATTCCCTATAAATTGGATTGTGGCTGAAAAATTCCTATCTCCTCATGACGTCAAAGCCATGATAACAACTTAGCATAACACATTATTCATGTGTTTATGGTGCCCTGTCAATCATTAAGTAGAGTATGTACACTTGTGTCCAGTATATAATACTTGATGATAATAAAGGACTTGCTACTAGCTGCTTTTTACTGTACTAAATTATTGGTATTTTATAGTATGGCCCCACTCCTACTACCATAAACTGGAGGCCCTGTTCAGTCACTGACCTAAACAATCTAAGTTTGTATAACTGCACTTTATGGTGTCCATACAGTGATAAAATTGTCCAGTGAGGTCCTTCTATGAACCTGTGTTCATCATTAAATGATGTCTGTCTGTCTGTCTGTCTATCTATCTATCTGTCTGTCTGTCTGTCTGTCTGTCTAATCTATCCACCTATCTATCCTTCTACAAAGTACTTACTCTCTAACGCTGAATGCACCATTACCTCCCCAAACCCAAAGTTAGATATACCCATTACCACAAACATAATAAGCATATGAAGAATACATGAAGATCTAAGGTTTTCATTCTTTACTAACTCATCATTTGTCTACTACAGATTTGGAGCCAGGCATTAAGATCCAAAAGAATATCTTTTTAAAAGTAGACCACAGTCTACTCAAGAAAAGATGCTGTCAATCAAATGCGATCAAAAGACCAGAGGTTTAAGAAGAATAATTCTAAGAACAAAGCAAGGAAAGTTTAAACCAAGGTGCAACAGTTTATCCTGAGTCTTAGAGGATCCACAGAAATTTGCAAGGACAATATCCAACTATGATTTGCAACCATTTTATAACCACAAGAGTATACAAATTGACTTAAAGAATTCAGTTCTGAAATATTCAGCAACTAACTGTGGCTCAGATATGTATGCCCCCTGACAAACCACTGCTGAACTTTATTCAAGTGTACTTTCTCTACAAAAACAACAGTGGCAAAAACAACTTTTCCACTACCTTATCCCTGCATAGAAACATCAATTTAGCCAAAGACAAGGTTGCTGAAAAGCCAAATTTTTCTACACTGAATGCTTCAAATCCAAGAAAGTATGGGAGCAAACTAATAAAGGGAAGTCATTAGCAGTGCACAGCTGTTACAAAGAGCAGGAGCGAAGTAACAAAATTATCAGGAGCAATGTTTTACACGTAGCAGATGTAACAGAGTTTAGGAGAATCAGACTTTTTTTTCTTTCACAAAGGAGTTGCATAGCAATTACAGATCTTTGCCACAGCATTTACATTAAGCATAATGACAACAGGGAATAGTTGTCTGGTATATTCACAGAGGACTTCCCAGGAAGGAATCCCTCTCTGCCCTGCTAGGACCAACTCACTAGCATGAAAGAATAACTAAGGTATAAAAATAAAGGATTACTATCTGTTCAAAGGACCTACATGCATTGACTCTCCAGTTCTTGGAAGCTGTTTACATATTGAATTTTTCATTATCACAGGCCATCCTAGCTGTCCATTAAAAAAAAAAAAGACCCCCATAGGCAGTTGTTCAATCAGCTCTTTGGGGAAGTATATTTCATGAGGAATCTTAACCTGCTTCTAAATGCAATAAGCTATTTTCTGTTCTATTCTAAAATAATTTAATAACTTGTAGCTTTGCAAACAGTAGTTCAAAGGACTTAAGACTGCCTTTGGCTGTTTTCTCTAAAATATGGAAGAGTTTGGGCATAACATAGTCTGATATGTTGTCATCTACAAGAGCATAAGCAATGTTAACCAGACTTGCAATATTGGTTTGGTCCATGTCTTTTGGAATTGTCTTTAAAGCTTGATGTATACTGTTCTAAGGCAGAGAACTTTCTAAAGTCGATTCATATTCATATTTGTATACAAACAGCAGAAATGAGCTGATATCTTGTTTCTACGTTGTAAATGTCATAGCCTGGGCTATGTACCTCCGAGCTGAGTTGTTTAGGTTTTACTTAGCTGTAAGTTCTTTAGTCTAAGATTCATTTTGGTTATTGCTTATTTTTCTCCTGTTATGTGGTGATAACCATAGCTATGGACTGAAGCTAGGACTCTGTTATAATATAATTGACCAAGACTGTTTGGTACCAGCTGTCTGCACTGTTTTAAGTGGTCATTCAGTATGTCCAAACTTCTTTTGTTATCTAAAACCCTTGGTCTCATTCACTGGCTCTGCTTCACTTTTCCAATTATGTGAATGACAGAAAACAAAGACTAGTCATAAATAATGCTAAATCTGATTTATTAGAATTCATAGGGGCTTGCCTAAGGCCTTCCTGATTCTGTCTGGTGGATAATAATGTCATCTGTAATTCCTTGTGGTACTGCTTGGCTCATTTAGATGCTGATAATATCATCTGATCCTGGAGTGGCTTTCCTCTATTGGAACTGGCATTTCAAAGTTAATGTGATTTTAATCGGTGTTAAAAATCTTTAGAGTGTCACTGCCTGGTGAAGTATATATAGTAAAGCTACCTATTCAGTACCCTGACAAATAATTTAAGATTTATGCTTGCTTCTCTCTCTCCCTCTGTGCCAGTCCTAGACTTTGAACTGAGCTTTTCTGTTCAAAGCTAGCAATTTGCCACTTGAGTCACAACTCCACTTCTAGCTTTGTGTGTGTTTGTGAGAGAGAGAGAGAAAAAGAAAGAGAGAGAGACAGACAAACAGAGAGACAGAGACAGAGAGACAGAGATAGAGAGTGAGAGATCAACTGAAGGTAAAGTCTCACAGACTTTCCTGCCTAGGCTGGTTTCAAACTATGATCCTCAGATCTCAGACTCCTGAGTAGCTAGGACTACGAGTAGCTAGTATTATAGGCATGAGCCACCAGTGACCAACAAGCTTCCTTGTTTCTGTCACTATTAAAAGCTATCCAAACTCTTAAAATGAATATTCTGAACATTAACAGGCATCCAACCCCAGAAGAGAGTCAACGGAAACCGGAGGCTCATAAACTAACACTAACCTTTGATATAGCAAGAATTCTTGGGAGATGAATAGCCTAGTCACTTTCTGTCTGCGGTCAGTGGGAGAGGCCGTCTAGGCAGTATGTGAAAGATCTGCCATTCTACCATTCTTTGGCTCCATTCAAAAGAAAAGATAATTGAACAAAATACATCCAGAAAGCTTTCAGATTACTGGAAGAAGTATTTAGAAGCTGGTTACCAAGCACTAGATTCAGTATATGTACCATGTATGCAGCTCACAACTAACTGTGTTAAGAATCCAGAGAATGCTGCTTGGTTAGGTCCCAGGACATGTACAGGGTCCAAAATACCTGGTATGGTCCTAATGTGTCTTCCTACCCATGGCTCTCCTGCCACAGCTTCCCAAGTGCTACCCAAGACTGAAAGGACTTCCTTTATTCCATTACTCAAAACATTTTGAACAGGTGCCTGATTCCTTCGATAGCGTTTCAAGGTTCCTGCTGTCTTCCACCAATGCCCTTTCCAATCTTAGGATAGTTTCAAATCCATGCCTTTCTGAGACACTGATTTCCTTCTCTTTGCTTTACTCCTGTTTATCTTGCTAAGAGTGGCTTTTTTTTCTTTTTTCTTTTCTTTTCTTTTCCAGACCTGTCTATGCTTATAGAAAATGACTTGTCTTTCCCTTCCAGAAAATTAGTGAATTTTTGGAAGGTATAACACAGTACCCATCATCCTACAGCTGATCTATAACCTCCAATTATAGTTTCATGGACCTTTCCCTGTTCTTAACTATGTCTTAAACAACTGTATTTTCTCTCTTCAACGTAACAGTTCAAAAATGGTTTCCTTTATAATAATCATCAGGACCAAAGGGGAATCTGGTCACAGGGGCTCAGCAAACTACACAGGGTTAATTTTTGACCTCTTGCAGGCAGCAGTCTACACACAGCCTTACCTCTGTCCAGGGACTCTCGTGACATGTCATCAGCAACCCTGGAAGTCTCCTTTCAATACACAGAGAGATTGTGGCCACAAGTCCCTCAGCGCACTGGGCTCAGGTGGACGAGGCTTTGTTCTTTTGATTTAGGATGAGCAACCAGCCCAAATCTAACCTCAGCTAATTCATTGCAAGAACAACCATCCCCCGAAGATTTGGTCAAGAGGCCTTTTTGGTCTCATTTCTGCACCCGGACTTTAAACTTCAGATTCTTCCAATCCCTATCTATTACTGTGTGGACCCGTGAAGCTTCCAAGCTCTTCTCTTTTGCTTTCACTGACTTCTGCACTATGACTGGGGTGAGAAGGAGGCTAAGATAAAGGTTGCTACTCTATAAAACTATCCTGGAAAGTCACTCCATGGGAAGGAGAGTAAAGCCCAGGAGCTGGTGAACGGAGGCATCTGACACGATCCTGATTGCAGAATCTGTCAGAAGAGGTATGTTTGTTGTGGTCAGCTTTTCACAATCTCCAAAATTTATCAGAGCACAACAAACATGCTGGCTTTCTGCATGACGGCCAGACAAGACTCAAAACCAGCATGACTTGTTCTTCTCATTCCCCCAAGAGTTCTGGAAATGTGACTTTTATTCACTGTAAGTTTTTACTTCCATTATTTTTTTTAAAAGCTAGATTGGGTAAGGGGGAAGGCTCCCTGAAATAGCTAACTGAAATTTAAGGGTACCCTTTCTCCTCTGCACTGCTTCATAACTTTTTACCTGCACTACAGCACATATCCTCTGTTGCTATGTTTCTGCTTTAGCTTTCCTCTGGTCTCCTCACGCATCCATCTGACTAAACCCATCAGGATAAGGAGTCTAACCCATCTTTATACTATATATTTGTCCAGAGAATGGTTGGTATTTAATACAGTTACTTTATCTCTTCAAATATTGTCTATTGCCTATTAAGAGGTATTTCTTTATACTCTAAAGATCAGTACTTTGATTGGATACAGAATCTGTATGCCAGATGCTGGCTGGGGAGGATCTATGTAAGAAAGGTTGTGTGATAGGTACCTAGTACTCTCAGTCCTGGCTCTTTATTCTGATCTTCTTTTCTTTTTTTGCCAAAGACACAGATGCATTAGTGGAAACTTTGGTTCTTTGCCCTGACTTCAGCTCACTTCTGGATGGATCCAGAAACTATGGGAGTTCAGGTTCGTTAGCCTTCATCTTTAAGTCCCTACTGATACCATTTCAAAGCATAGCGACTCAATGAGTTAGTTTTGTTTTGGATCAAGTTTTCATTTATAAAGACAATGAAATCGCATCTGTCACTGAGAGGTGAACTAGTGTATACATGGTGTTAAGGTCTCAGCATCTTTATCCCACATGTAAGATCTGAAGATCTGAAGTTATTACTCTCTGGTTATAATAAAGGGGTTATTTTAATTACTCTTATTATTATACACAATCTCCTTTTGTGCTTTTTCTATATAGCCTGTTATGACCTCAATTTATAATATTCATAATAATTTCTTATGTAGAGTGCTACTAGTTTCCCATTTAGCAGTTACCAAAAGACAATAATGCTTCTCTTTTCAAATAGTTCAAATTTTCACCAAATATGATGATAACAATATGTTGGTGAGTTTTTGTACCAATATATTGGTACAAATATATTGGTACTGTTCTTTTTAAAAGAAAATTCTTCCTGTTCTGAATAGCTTCCATGTTAGCAGTTCAATCCAGGAAGGATTGTGAAATGACAGAACAATGTGTGCTTCCTGTCTACCTTCTCCATTCTACTCCTACAACTACTGGCTGATAATATTTTTGCTACAAAGTCCAATGGAGGTGACTAGAGCCACGATATTATTGTTATTATTTTTCTGATAGACATAAGGTACCGAGAGGCCCAGCATTTGTTAACAGGCATGGTTTTTGATGCAGGAAAGCCTATTTTAAGTCAGCTCCAGTTTATGGAGGTGTAGCTGATTATTTTGAATAATTAAATGGTGTCAAAACCAGCTGTGATGAATAGCACTGGGGTCTCAAATCATACATAATTGAGAAACCGGAGTTTGCATTTGATCATCCTGATCAAATTCCGCTCTCTGGAGGATAAATGTTTGTGGTGAATACCATCAACATTGTTAAATGCCTCAATATTCTTGCTCAGTCATCCAGCCAACAGTCAATTGAACTAAATCACCCCACCACCACACACATTTGCTGTCCTCATGAATACAAAATGTTTGACTGCAACCATGTTCTTTGTCACTGAATAGGCACCTTTTTGGGTCAGCATATAATAGCATCATTAAATACTTGACATGCGTTTGTTTGTTCCATAAAACACAGCACTGTGGAATAAATCAGAGTCCTTTCTCTCTCACACTTTTGTGCTACTCATTAAAAAAAAAAAAAAAAGCCCAACACAAAAATCAACCACAACAAAAACCTAAGAGGAAGATTTAATTTAAAATGAGTTGTCAATATAATGGCATTGCTGGTGGCCGTTAGGGATTCCAAATTTGCATACAAACATGGGATTCAGGGCCTATTTCTTATTGTTCAGGCAAAATCATGGTGCCTCCCAGCTGCACAGTGCCTTGTCCTTCCCAGTGCTTATCTTCCATGACTTCATTCGAGCCCCATAACCAACTATGTGAGAGGAGGTGGGCAGGCTCCACCCTTTGCATTTCCATTTTAACACCGAAATGAGAAGGAGAAAGGAGCCGCCTTACCCACAAAGCTAGAAGACAGCTGAGCTGCCACGAAAACTTGGCCTCCTCGGCACAACTCTTGCTGCCAGGGATGTGTGCCTTAGTTAAGCGCCTCAGTGAAGAAAAGGGCAGTCTGTTTAATAGCTCCTCATTGACACCCTGTCACTGCTGAACTGGCACGGAACCGGAGCTGGCAGGGTGGTGCCTGCTACTCCCTACCTTGTTTCCGACATACCACTTCTTAAAATCCAGAAGACTGTGTGTTAACCCGTGTCTTCTCTCCAAGGATTAATAATCACAAAAACAACAACAATCAAGGATGGTTGCTTGCTTCTTAATAATGAGCCCAGCACTTACAAGGATGTTTATCATGTATTTATGTTTTTTTTCCCCCCCTAACAACTTGGGGATGTGGGTGACATTAGCACCCTTTTTAAAAATGAGGAAACTGGGAATGGGAGATGAAGCGATTGGCCCCGTCGATGACGACTAGGAGGCACACGGCTGGCGGAGCCAGCACCCAGTTCTTCAGATGCCAAACCTGCTGTCTACGCTCCCATGTGCATCCCAGAAATGACATGGAATCAGGGAGCTCTGCATCATGACTGTCGCCCTCTGTTAGAATTAATGGGCAGAAAGAACCAGAAAAAAAAATCCTCACTAGCTGGCCTCTTCTCTACCACCGAGTTCCATCTTTCAGACAAGTGCTCATTCAGAACAATTGCAATCACCTTCTTTTTCACCTTATTTTGTATGCTTGTCAAAAAGCATCCAGACACATTGTAGTTGTAAACTGCTTTGGTAAATGGCAACTCCTTTGTACAACTACTTACACATAACTAAAAAAAATCATCAATGGTAAGAAAAAGGAAAAACTACCAGTTTTCAGAGACACTGTTCTGTTATGCTTAAATTCAGTTCAAGTTTACAAAAAACCAAACCACCACCACCACAACAAACCTCCTTATAAAATGAACTGAGTTTCTTGAAATTAATTTTCAGCTTTGAAACGTACCTCAAAATCCTCAGAGAACCCACGCTGGTTATTAGAATACAGCTCGCCGATGTGTTTAACAAACTGTTTGACAGGAATGGCTTCCATGTCATCTGGGGAAATAAAATGATATTCAAAGTCACACAGAATACTTCCATACACAAATGATAATGAAAAAGCAAACCGCCCTTAGTTCCTTAGTATAGACAAATATTTCATTTCTGTAAAGAATGGTCTAATTCTATCATCTGAAATCCACATCCTGAAGAAAACTCTCAAGGTTTATATTTACATTAAGATCTCATTAGAACTTTGAATTGCCTATTAGCCAGGTTAAATAGGGTATTTTCAAAAAGGTACACACGGACTTCCCTTTACTTTGTATAGTCAGGCTGTTTATACAATCAAATTGCCACATTTTAAACTGTCTGAATTTAACAAGAATAGCTATTTGCCAAGAACCTGAGCTTTGATTCCTTTTTATTTTTTTAATTGCTATTCAATAGGGGGCAGGCTCCAACTGGAGCAGGAAAGTACTATTTCCAGTCTTTGAACTCTATATGATCTTTTGTACACAATCAGAGGCCCCTGTACCAGCTGGCTCTGGATACAATGCCATCTATCGTTAAGCGTTCGGAATTTTAGTTCAAGACAGCTGTGCTTACATGATGCCAAATAATCAGTTCGATGGAATTAACTGGATTTATTTATTTATTTTGGTGTTGACAGATTAGGTATAGATTCAGAAAGATTCCACATTCTCCAACTTATTGTAGTATCATCACTTCTTAAGGACATATTTTCAGTTAATGGGCCCAAAGCATGTGTTAGGCTTATTTACAGAGGCCCGGTCCAATCCTTGATCACTGCTGCTAAACAGCCACACCCATTACACTTGAGCTCCAGACCTTCTTCTCCTCGACCCTCCCCCGCAAATATTTCCTTTTAAAAATACCCTGCTGAATTTGAGATAAACAACAGACATGACATTTACTTTATTCAGAGTGAAAGATCTTTGGCAAACGCACAAACATCTAAACTGCCACAGATGCTTTTCTTAGCAAAGGGTATGAAGATCTGTATGTGTAAATGAGGTCCTACTTTGGCAAGAATTTTATAGATCCAGGCCTGACAATCTGATTTCTCTTCATCTGGTGACAGTTAACATTGACTCTGTCATTCCTTCTCTACTTTTCTTTTGAGAGAGCAAAGCTCTAGGGTGGCTTTTTGCATCTATTGACATTTTCAAACTTGAATCATTCTTAGGCAGAAAATAGCATATCTTATACTTTGTTTAGGAAAGGTGATTTATATGTCCACAATCCAAGTGGTTTCAGCAGTGACACATTGCTTTTGCAATGGTGGTACTCTGCAAGCATAAATGCTCTCTGTGTAAACAATTAAAGTCCTACTCATTTTAATAGGCGACCTTATGAAAAAAATTGCCAAGTTATTTACAAATATTTCAGGATTGAAGATGTTCATGAATATGCAATCGTTTTGTACACCCAAGAATCTATAGCTCCCATGATGTAACCAGTATTAACAAACTAAACTGAGCCAAAAATGTTTCCCCAGAATATTTAGAAGAATGCAGAGCTCAAGAAAAATTTCCCAAATTATGCAACCACTTAAAATGTTTAGAATTCTACAGTAATGATTGGGTGGCAAAGAATGGATCCCCCCAAGCTAAAGAAAGGGTTATTGTGTTCAGAGCTGGGGGGCGGGGAGTCTGTTATCAATGTCCACAGATAAGGGCATCTTGAGCTAATGAGGGAGAGGAGATAGAACCCAATGCTACAACAGCCTTAGTATACAGAGCACAGCAGTTACCTGCCATTCATTTACAGCAGCTTCCAAGGACAGAGTAACCCAGTTAACAGTGTGATGGGGAAAGGGCAATATTAACATGCCCATGATATTTTAAGAATTCCCAGCTGCCCTGAGAACTGACAGTGCCATCATGATGGACACTGAACGGCAGGTACAAAATCAGAAAAATCACATCAGCTTCAGATGTTTTCCTCTGTAACCTTAAGGATGATCAAGACTGCAGTATTCTAAAATAAAAGGCATGACAGCATAGCCCACCACAAATCATTCTAAGAAATGCTATCAGGTTCATAGTTTATGATGATTATTTTTTCCTGCAAAGTGCTCAACTAGAATATCTAAGCTAATGACACACATGGCCTAGAATTCAGTCTGTCTGCTATCCCAGAGCTAGATGCACCAGAAATCCTGCAGAACAAAATGAGCTAACAGGGAAATAGATGACTCACTAGTCTCTCTCATTTGCACCTTTATCCAAGTAAGTCTAGCCACACCCTCTGGGTTTGTAGACACCACCAAGAATGTACTACTACCAGACAGGCAGGTGCTCCCTGAGGTGCAGGCTGACGGCCCACCACCTACCCAGATTACAGATCACTTGTCTTTCATTCAAGGTAAATAGTGGAGAGGTCATTAATTTCTTTCCTGTATTTTAAGCAGCAATCGTATTTATACATTTTCCTATAAAGTCTCTTAATGAGCCAGGTGATGATAAAATTCACTAAGCAGAAGGCCAAGTCATTCCTTACAATACCCTAGGGCTAAACCTGCTGTTTTTATCTGGACAGGGCCTATGTGTTATAAGGAAATGTCCAACATTAACGTGTTATTGCCAGCTAAATGTCTGAGTTAATTATGAAGGATGACAGAGAATATCAGCATAGGACTTAGTGCCTAGGTACTTTATGTGTATTAACATGCACTCAAAGGGAAGGTTGTGATTTTCATACTCATTTTATAAATCAAGAAGAAAAGTTTTAAAAGAGAACCGCAGCTTGGAGTAGGACAAAAGGCAGTAAGATTCCAACAAATCACTAATGCTTTCAGTTTCTCAGGCAAACCGCTTATATGTTAAGAGTTCTCATACTCATGTATGTTAAATTTGCTTTCTCTTAATTTTAATGAAAATCTGATAGAGAACAAGTTAACTTTCCTGTTGCCATCTTTGATTTGATATTTCGAAGGGAAAAGCAGTAGCCAAGGCTTTGACTGTACCCTAAAGAGAGAAGAGCTGCTTGTCAGGTCAGCCTTAGCACCCTACCATCCCTCAGCCTGAGCTCCTGTAGGACTGTGGGTCTATTACTCTATTTGCTCCCAGGGATGAGCACCTGCTGTAGTTCAGGCATTTAAAGGTAATGGTGAGAGCAGAGATCCAGAGTCAGACTGCATAGTGCTGAGACTTTTCCTCACCTAGATTCCCTTTATCTGTGAAATGGAAAAACAAAATAAAAAAAAACAAACAACCACCGATACCAACCTCACAGAGGTATGAAAATCAAACTAGGAAAGGGCCTCATAAGACTGCTGGTTATGGCCCAAAGAAACATAGGTGTCATGGTTTCCCTTATTTGCAATATCTAGTATATGTCTGAGTCAAGCAGAAAAGGTCAGATAAGGTGATATTAGGGAAATGAACCCTAAGATATATATTCAAATGTGTTTTTCTTTCATGCGATTGTTTCTAACACATTTATAAGATTATTTCTTTGTTGCTTTGTATGTCCCTCCCCCACAGTATAACCCCTGCTTTCACTGTATTTGATGTCAGTATAATTTGTGGAGGGGAATGGGAAAAACAAATCGTCTAAATAGGGATACAGGTGGACCCATTGCAACAATGAGATGTACAAGTCGTTATGTTGAAAACAAACTTTACAACTTTGGTGGGGTGGGGGGAGCGGGGAGGATTGGGGGGGCAGGAGGAGGATGGGAAGAGATGGGAAGGGGAAACAAAGGAGGAGGCTACAATGCTTGACAAGAAATGTACTCATTATCCTGCCCATGTAATTGTAACCTCTCTGTACAGTATTTTCATAATAAAAAAATAAAAGAGTGCTGGTTATTTAACAAGTATGAGATAAATGAGAGATTTATTGTTAAGGGCTATGATTCCTCCCACTTTATATACAGTACACTCTGGCTAAGACAGACTAGGGCACTTGCCCAAGGCTCGTGGCCTCTCTCTATCTAGTACTAGGATGGGGCAGACTCCAGAGACTAGGTTCTTCCATACTGCATTGCTTTCATAGACTGACACATGAAAGAAATGTTTCCAATAATACAAGGGTTGAAATAATACGCTTTGCTTTGTGGTAAGCTTCAGTCATTCAGAACATTTTCAACAGTAGATCAGTCACCTTGAAGATGCCAGATAAATGCAGTGTGAAAGTATTTATTTGCTTGCCAATGTTAGATGACTTGGTTGGCTTTAGGTCTAAGAAAAGATCCACTTTTGTTTACTTGAGAAATGAGCTTTTATACACAGAGACACACCCAAGAGAGAGAAAGAGAGAGAAATTTCCAAGATCCCTGTACCAAAAGTACTTAATCTTTATCAGATCTCTCTTAACCTTATCCTCAATTCCAAATTCCAACCAAATCTGACCGTGAACTGGGAGAAGACATAATGGCCTAATATGGAGCTTGGCTCCAGTGAATACTGTTAGGACCTTCTCTACTCTCCCACCTCCCAGTCAAGTCCCACCAGCAGGGCGGTTATCAGCTATGCTTAAGCATGCCTCCAGTGCAGGAACTTGCTTCTCCTTTCCCACAGGTCAAATTCAGGCCTCTGTGCTGGGTAGTACCTCCGTGTCAACGTTGGAAGATAAAGGAGATCATGAAATAGGAGAAAAATTATCAAGATTTTAGTTCCTGCAAGAAGACAACAGCTAGATAGTTATCTAAATCAGATCCTCAGGTTACAAGAACTGGTGTGGAGATTGGAACATTTTATTTTCGGACATCAAAAAGAAATTCATTTTTTTTCATTCATGGCACAATAAAAGTCAATAAAGAAAAGGCTTCATGATAGTCAAAAGACCAATGAATCTCCTTTGGAGATAATCTCTATATAAATAAAATATGCCAACAAGGTTGGTTTAAGCCCAAGGGCTTTAAGCTGTATGTTTAAAACCCCCTTTTAGGCTGGCACCCTGCTGAAACCAGTGACCTTCAAATTACTAAGATGTATTTTAACTGATGGAAAGGCATAAATCCTTTCTGGATTTCCAAGCTACTGGTTAGCAACAGCATTTTGGTTTTTCATGCTCTTATTAGAAAGTTAAGATTTTCTAATTCCCAGAGAAAAGCATTTGTAAGAATATTTGTGTTGGACAAGTTGCACATTTGGGGAGTTCTATAAAGAAATGATCTCAGGAACTAAGTTTTGATTTTAAAATGTTTATACATGTTTAATGTCAGAAACAATGATATTACAAGCAAATATGTCATTTCAAAGTTGCATTTGCTTGTTATATAATTTTACCTTTATTAATAAATGCGATCAAAATACTATTCAACTTTGTTGTTTCAAAAGAATATACGTATACTCACTGGTAGAGTACTAGCCTAATAGGCCCTGGGTTTGATTCCCCAGAATGACAAAGAGAGAAAAAAAAAGTGAGGAGGGAGGGCTGGGAAGGTAGCTCAATGGTAGAGTGCTTGCCTTGCATGCATGAGCCCCTGGGTTCATAAGCAGAAAAGCTGGAAGTGGTGCTGTGGCTCAAGTGGTAGAGCACTAGCCTTAGGCTGAAGAGCTGAGGGACAGTGCCCAGGCCCAGAGTTCAGGCCCCACGATTGAAAAAAAAAAAGTGGGGAGAGAAGGATAGGGAAGAGAAGGGGAAAAGAGGGAAAGGAAGAAGAAAGGAAGATAAGGGAGGGGGAAAAGAGAATATTCCCAGATCATGACATCTTAAATCCTATCTGTGAATGTTAAGAGTAATGTGGATTTAGCTGTAATCCCAGCACTTGGGAGGTTGACGCAGGAGGATCATGAGTTCCAGCTCAGCCTGGGCTACATAGCATGACCATGTCTCCAAAGAGAAGAGGGAGGAAAAAAGTAATATGGATTGTAAAGACATAACTCTGATAGCTTGGTTACTACACTAAACTACACTTGATCCTCGTACAGTAACAATGGGAAATCAGTAACTGTGGAACATCTGATTTTGAAAACCTACTAGAGAAAAAAAATAGAATGAAACCTCTTTGTGCAACCACTTAAAGATTAAATATATACATATGTATATATGTGTGTATATATATATATATATATATATATAAGTTCCTTTCATTCAAAGTTCACACTTTAACTTATTCCTTTTATAACCTGCTTTCCCCATTATCATCCCAGAGCAATCACTATAATTCAAAATCTTCCCAATGAGAGAATTCATGTCTCTCAGTGGATGAATGGATCAAGAAAATTTGGCATATATGCACGATGGAATTCTACTCATCCATCAGAAAGAATGATATTGTACCATTCATAAGGAAATGGAAAGATGTAGAAAAAATTACATTAAGTAAAGCAAGCCAGAACCAAAGAAACATAAGGCTGCATGGCTTCGGGATTTGTCTATGAATCTACAAGTGAACACACTGAATGGGTGAAATAAATAAATGTATATTTTTTAAAAAGAGAATGTCACTTTTATGGTAACTGAACACTATGCTTGGGAACACGTTTTCACATTGGATACTCTTTTTTTGGGCCACTCCTGGGGCTTGAACTCAGGGCCTGGGCACTGACCCTAAGCTTCTTTTGCTCAAGGCTAGCACTCTACCACTTGTGCCACAGTGCCATGTCCAGTTTTTACTGCTAATGTGGTACTAAGGAGTTGAAGCCAGGGCTTCATGCTTGCTAGGCAAGTACTCTACCACTAAGCTACCTTCTCAGCCCCACATTGGATACTCCTATGTTATGAGTTCATTCTTATGTCCCTAATCCTAGCTGTGATAATTTTGGTTCCCAGCATTGCCAGATTTTTACCTTAAGATAAATGAGACAAGTTTTTTTTAAAAAAATCTTTCTTAAAATGCTGTCTTTACAGGGCCAGGAGAGATAGCTCGTGTAATCACAGCTTAAGCAAAAAGTTAGGGAGACCCCCTCACTGGGTCTGGTGACCAAGGCTGACATCCCACCAAGTAGGATAGAGGAGGACTATATGAGGTCACCTGCGCAAACACATGAGATCTTATCTGAAAAATAGCAAAAGCCAAAAGAATGTAGGGGTGTGGTTCAGGTGGTAAAGTACCTGCGTGGCAAGCATGTACCCTGAGTTCAAATTCCAGTACCACAGAAAAAACTGTCTTTGCTATATATATTAAGATCACATTAAGGATCTTGTAAACCCACATTGCAGTTGGAATTAGTACGAGATAGCTTAAAGAGCTTCAAAAATGTCTATAAACGAGTCTTCAGGAGATAGAAGATAAGCTTTGGATAGTTATTGATTAAATGAGTATCACTACCTAAGGAAATTTAACTAAAGCTTTCCTTCGTTATTTGCCCATTATGTAATACTTTTTGCCTTACACCATGTAAGCCATTCAGTCTTACAGATGTATTACAACTCATCAAGAATGCACTTCCCACCTGTAACACAACTTCTGGATTCCACTCAGGCTTTGGGATTTAAAAGTCAGCCGGTACGGTGGTAGTTGCCTGAAGCCTAGCACTTGGTAGGTACCAGGTTCTGGTGAATTGAAAGTTTTAACCTCCCCCCACACCCCCCAAAGGGAAACCAGTGTGAGGCGAGCCCCACTTGGTGAATGTGGATCTGTGTTAGGGGGAATGTGACTCTGAGACCAGGAAAATGCTTTCCCTCTATAGAAGCTGAGATTGCCAATGCCATGACTTGAAAAGACAGATCCCGGCAGCTTACACCTCTGTCTTCACTTAGGGTTTCCAAAACACTTCTCCATGTCACCTCAGATGACCTTTACAATTGGCTCAAGTGTCAAGAAGACATGCAAAAAACTAAGGCTTTACCTGGGCGCTGGTGGCTCATACATGAAATCCTGGCTATTCAGGAGGCTAAGATCTGAGAATCATTGTTTAAAACCAACTTGGGCAGGGAAGTCCATGAGACTCTTTATCGCTAATGAACCCATAGAGAACTGGAAGTATGCCTTAAAGTGGTAGAGTTCTCGTCTTGAGCACAGGGACAGTGCCCAGGCCCCGAGTTCAAATCCCACAACTGACAAAAATAAAAGAAAGGCATAGGGAAGCCAATTCAGTGACCCCCGCCAATCCACTGCCCCCCCCGCCAAAAAAAAAAATCATGGTGCAGCTAGGGGGGAAAACCTAGGTTTTCTGGTTTCTAATCTAGTAGGTGAAGGAAAATAAAAACTGAAAAATAGCTCAAGCATTTCAGCGCTTATCTTTTTAAAAATGAATTTGAGCTGAACAGCCACAGCAACTGTGTTAGATGAGTAGGGTGAGGAGAGACAGACTCCCAGGAATTTCTCAGTGATCAACACATATTCTGGATGCTGCTAGAGGAAAGAGAGTATACTGGTGCTACTGATCAAGTCTGGTAGATTCAGCGAAACAACCTGTGCCGTGGTGATCAAGCTTGATGATTCCTGTCGGCTGTTTCTCCTCTCACAAGAAGCATTCAATCTGCTTCCACCAAGGATAAAAGTCAGTGGAGAGGGAACACATGGCAACACAAACCTAGCCCCATCTCTATGGCAGTCTTCTGCAGGCAGTACGGAACGATCCCACAGGAATGAAGGAAACTCTTCTGCTGCCTTTGTTGATTCTGTGAAGTTTTAGGAAAGTTCACTAGAATGGATGGAACAACAGCCGATTCCAGCAATACCTAGTGATTCACCTCATGGACGCTTAAAAGTGACAAATCCCTAGCCATAGCCATACCTAGTAACACTGCCAACACCAAGAAGCAGTCCTTTTTTGCTACCCCAAAAGTAACCTTACCTCTGAGCTGGACATGCGGCCTTTTAAGAACTTTAAGGAAGTTTTGCTGACAGCCATTCAAGTATGCATCCATTCATCAACGAGTTAAAGAATGCCTACTAAGTGTCTGGTGTTATTCCATGATTAGGAACACGTCTGCTTGCCCTTATGAAGCTGTTATTCTAGTGGGAAGTGACAATAAGCAAGTAAAATCCATTTGATGGAAAGAACATGTCAGGAGAATGAGGCAGACAAATGGGGTGAGGAGCTATGGGTGTGGAGGTGTTGGCACTATAAAAACAAGTCATATCTCGATAAACAAAAGAATGATGAATGTCCAGATGGTAAATATCTCAATGTATGTATTTAGAAGCTAGGAAGGAAACACAGCAGTTCAGAGGGCAAAGGTGATCCAAAGGAATTCTATGGAGGGTGACAGCTTCATATTCCACATCGTACCTGCTAACTACTAACTCACTGCTGCCCTTCTAAATACCTATGGCATTTGCTAAGGTTCCTTACAGTGTACTCTACCAATTCCTAACACTGGGTGTCTTACTGTTTTGTCTGAGGACAAATGAAATACAGCCTAAAGCAGTAACATATCCATCCCCAGTCTTGCACACAAACATCATAGTCAAACATTCTTAATGAAGACCAATCACCATCCAAATGAAGCATCTCAGGAGAAAACTTACCTTTAGAAACATACCCCAAGTTGTGATGAACACATTAACACACAATGGTTTGTGACAATGCAATACAGTTCAAGCGGATGATACACTCTTTGTATGTTTTCCCTTTTTTCTGTTACTTCCCTTCCATGAGATTCTAGGCTATATTAACCCAGTTCATCGCATTACTTTGAAGAGATGCACAGAAGCAAAGATTTTACTTAAGTGCTCTTAGTCTAGGATCTCCTCGGCTGAGGAATCATCAAAAAAAAACTTTTATACAAATAATATTTTGTCATAGTTATCACATAAAACCAAACAGAAAGGAAAAGAACCCCCTGCCTCTTACTTACCTGGAATAGGAATGATAGGAATACTTTCATTGGGGACCACGCGAGGTGAACTGCTATCTTCCACATAGAAATGGGCAGTCTGAAAACATTTTCTGTGTGGGAAACAAAACATGCCAACAGTGAGACCAGAGAAATTCTGAGTTCAATCATTTTTCAATTCTCTTTCCACCAGGTTCCCCAGCTTTACAAACCACAGAGCACTGAGCCAGAGCCATGGAAGAAGACGACAGGGGGACAGCAATGCACCTGCGCAGGAAGCCAGAATGACTGGGGAATACCCATCTCCTAGCACTGAGCCCTCAGGTGAGTGAGAACTCACCACAGACAGAGCAAACAGTTCTGTAAGCCACAGCATCCCCCTCCCTGCCACCACACACACAATATTTCTACTTCTGACAGGTTACAAAGAAATCCCCTCCTCTCCTGTACCCTAGCACTGAGTTCAGAACTATACCTTGAACCCCTCAAATGGAGTCATCCAAGCAGCCAACAGCCCAACTACACAACAGTTATCATATTGTCTGTGTTTAGCCAAGGTACCTGAAGCCTCAGACTGCTGTCTCCATAAAGGGGGGTGGGGCGGCCAGGGAACTTGCAGGGGACAAGTATGCTCCCCCCCAGTCAGAGAAGAGCTACACCAAGAAACAGGAGACCCTAAGTGTCATCTGCTTGTTTGGGGCTTGGTTTGGGTTTTACCTGTACTTCAAGCAAAGCAGGGAGCACACACTGGTCATCATAGGAAACGCAGTGGACAAAAAGCCATCGGCAGCTCACTCAGCCTCTGCCCGCTGAAGCTGGCCGGCCCTCAGCTTTCCTGCCTCCACGTCACTGCTCATTGCAGCCCTAATGAGCTGCCGGAAGCACAGGCTGAATATTTAATGAGGCCGCTCAGCGTGAATGGCTATTGTGACCAGAGAAGGGTCCCTGTTCATGTGGCGGAGGGGCCTTACAATAGCTGGCCCTACTGCTGGGTCTTTTAGCCAAGCAGACAGCATCCTTCTGGTGTTCTGTGTCACTGGGCTGTCCCCACTCCTCTACCATCTCCCTCACTAACAACATGGACACACAATGCAGCCTGTAATTCCAGCTCCTGTGTTGCTTATTGAGTCCAAAGTGGCCCGGGATCTTTCTAGGAAGCTCCCCACCTCCAAAAATAAAAAGGAATTAGAGGGTTAGAAGAAAAATCAAGCTTCCTCTATCTAAACCAAAGATATGGCGGGGGTGGGGGGAATGGGGAGACAGAGAGTCATTCGGTTTTCTGTCATCGCTTTCTACAGCGTAGCTATTACCAAATGCTGAGGCAAAGGTCACAGGTCACAGGAGCAGGTGCTTTTCTTTAGCCAGAGCCAGTGGTCACACGGAGAGCAGCACCCTCTGGCATTTGTGGGCATGGCTCTTGAATCAGTCTGGATTGGTCCTCTATACCAATATGGGGAACTGAACATACTCAACCCCAATGCTTGGCACGTTTCTCACAGCACACACACAAAGTTTTGTTGCTATGAATTACCTGACAATTGTAATATAAGTAATAAAAGGAAGTTCATGACTTTCATAGATGCTTTTACCTATGTTGGGGGTAGTTACTTAGACTCAGTTACTGAGACTCAACTTCCTTGGGTGTGAAATGCATATTAAATGATGGAGCTCTGGGTCTCACCACAGCTACTGAGTGTGCAAAGACGGAAAAATCCAGGTGAAAACATGGGATTTTTATATTTGAAATAACAGCCCGATTTCTAAACTAGAACTTTCGTCCACTTTAACAAATGGAAAAAACAAACAAAATTAACTTCTGGGCCAAGCAGGGCAGTACACATCTATAATTTGAACACTACAAAGGTTGAGGCAGGAAGATCAGAGTTTAACAGCCGGGGATACACTGCATGAGGAAAAAGAAAAGGAACTTTTATTTCAAGATTTGAATTACTAAGTCTATTACTAAGTTTAGACACATAAAGCGATTAGTCAAAGCTATTAGTACTAGCCAAGTGTTAAAGTCTTGGACTTGAGAAGAACAAACTGTCATGTTGATTTTTTTTTCTAGAGGGTAGACAGTTTAGCCAGTCTCTCAGCTACGTATGGCACTAAAGGCTCCACATTATCTTTGGAGGAAAAAAAAAAAAGCAGTGTGTACTGAAGCAAATCACACTGCAGAGCCCCATGTGCTGCTGTTTATAATGGATTTTCCCTGGAGCAAAATAACTCTGTGATTGCCAGAGAAAAGCACACAACTGGGAATGAGGGTCAGAAGCTGGGAGACAGAGCCCCGAACATCTGCACCATGCTGCACAAAGACCTGGGTGGGCAACTAACTAGCTGCAGAGATTGAGGCAGGGGGTGTCTTTCCTTAGTATGCATTTCTTGTGTATTATTATTCCATAGAATGAAGGTTTGAGAGCAGTCAGCAAATGTTTATTCAGCACCCACTCCATGGCACTGTGTGCACAGATTAACGCATTCTGGACAACTGTCCACAGTCCTCACAAATCACTTCTGTAAGCCTGGCTAAATGCTGGAGTGACTGAAGAGAATTATGTAAGGAACAGAGGATCTGTACAGAGAAATTAGGAAATGATTGGGGGAGGGGTGGATCAATTACAATCACTCAGTTCTCCTCTTTGTGATAGTCTGTATTAAGTATTTTGGGGCAAAATCTTTTTACACGCTTTTCCCCATGGACTGTTTCTTAGTCATCTTCAGTGAAACTGGGAGGAAGATAATTAAGGCAGCCAAGACCTTGCCCTCATGACATTTACGTTTTCATAGGAAATCCAACTACAAAGTTTCAAATAGCAGTTATGGAGAACACATAAATGATGTGGTGACAAACGGTGCGGGTAAGGGCTCCCAATAAAGGAGGATGAGTTTGATAAGCAACAGAGAGGACACCAGCCTAGGTGGATCCAGTAGCTAGAGCAAGTGCGTCAGGGTGACTCTGGCAGTTGATAGAAAGGAAGGCAATGACCAGAACAGAGAAAGGCTGCCGCAGGAAGGGCTGGGAAGGAGGGTCAAAGGCCCATTGTCCAAGAGCCAGGAGGCCTTCGAAGGTTTTCCCTGGTACCTAAGAGCAAGGGACAGTGGAGGGACGGGGGGACGGGAGGGAGAGTTCCAGTCCATGTACTGACATGGATTCATTTCTTTCAAGAAATTCCTTTGGGCTGCTATGTGAGGAATGTCGTATAGGGAGTATTGGCGAACAGGAAGAATTGAACACAGGGATTGACAAAGCCAACTTGGGATCTCAGGCAATTGTAAGCAAAGCCCATTTTTGATTTTTTTTAAAGCAAAATAGGAACAGATTTTATTTGCAAAGGAACCTCTCTAAATAATACTAGAAAAAAATCATTGTAACTGATTTGCATTTTGCACATTTCAATAATCAGCTTAACTTCTAACATTTTATAGCATTTGGACTTTTTAAACGACATTTTTCCTTTTTCCACTAAATATTTGAGTGGACAAAATTTATACTCACTGTTAAATTATGATCATCTCATTTGCCAATACAGAAAAAAGTTCCAATGACGAATAGTCCTTTTGATATCTTTCTGTTATTATAAATGTGATATACAGAAGGGTGCATCATATCCCTCATTTTGTCATAATTAGAATGTGCCTATAAATCTACAAGTAAACACACTGGATGGTAAAAGACAAAAAAAAAACACTTGGACACGATAAATTATACAGGTCTCTAGATGTTCAAACAGTTAGACAAAAGGAGGATATTCTTCAGAGAGGATCACAAAGTTTCAATTGCTATGTGCATATGATCATATAAAATGATATCTATGTAAATGAACTCCAAGACATGAATACAGGAGCCTCCCTCCACCTCGTAACTGTTTTTTTTCTTTTCTGTATCTTTTGTCCTGTTATAAGTTTATCTGTTTTGGGGAGGGTAAGAGAGAAACACAGAAATGACGAGACAAAGTGTAAACAAATGCAGCAGTGGTACGCATTAGCCACTGTTGAAAATGGACTTGTGGGGGCGGGTCAGGAGGGGAAAACTGGGAGAAGGCAAGGGAAGGGGTGACACTGTTCATTTTCTATTGTTTTAGTAACAAAGGGTAATCAACCATATTATACAGTATCTCCCTGATAACAAACAAGCTGACATCCTTATTACAAATATCTTCTTGGTCTTCCATTTCATTGAGGTATTAAGCAGTATTTAAACTACTAATTTCTTAGGGATCTACCTTGGGCTTCTTCAAAGGGCCATTTGGCTAATTTTAAACTTTTACCTATCATCCCACACTGTGAGGAAGAGCTCGCATGTACAAATTCTACGCTGCAGCTTTATATTCTAGAAAAGCAGCTGCTATCATATGGCACTATATTTTTATTTGCTGACTTCCTAGAAATCCATGAAAAAAAATTTGCTTCTTGACCGTCAGCCATGTATCAGAAAAAAAAAAAAAGACAAAGGCAGGGACTTGGAGGAAAAGCAAACCCTGCACCTGCCCCCCCCCTGGGGCATTTTAATACATCTAAACTTGTAACCTGTGATTTGTTCAAAGAGCAGGATTGTCTCAAATTTTGAGCTCAGGGGAATGCAGATAGAATTTCTTAGAAAGCTGATGTGCGTCACTGAGTAAACCATTTCAGTTTTCTATCTAGGTCCACTTCTATTTCACCTAACTTACCTTAAAAGTCTCCTCTTGAATGAAACAGAGTATCTAGAGCATCAATGGCCACTGTTGTGGCTCTACACAACACATGCTTATGGAAATACCATAAAGAGGAGAAATGAGGAAGTAGTATTTAACAATTGAATTTAAAAAATTCAAGTCTGACAACAATTTTAATCCAGTGAGTCTCCACCATACATTTTATTCTTCCATTTCTCCATGCTCCAGGATGCTCTCTGATCTCTTTGAGAAACAGAAGACAAGTAGCATATTCTTATTGATCCTGGTTGGCCTATTGATAATCCAAGTTTCTTGTCATGTACTTCCCCTAATCTACATTTGAAGTATATCTATATATGACATTCGAAGCATCCCTATTTTAGTATACTGTTGAATTTTGCAGCATTATAAAGAATAAATCTCTCATCAGAGTTTGAGTCAAACAGTGGGTATAA